GCCGTTGGCGAGTCTCACGTATATATGTAGTGTGTGTGTGTGTGTGTGTGTGTGTGTGTGTGTGTGTGTGCGCACGCGCACCCGTGCACGTTTACGAATGCACCCAGACTGGTAGACACTTAGGCAAGTGTGAGCTTTATCCGTGTATGGCACATCTGAATGTTGAATCTGCATGGATTAATAAATTGCATTGTCTACATGCCCAAGTTGCCAGAATAGGATTAAGAGATTGGCTACAACATGTCTATCTTGCCTACTTTCCAAATATTTCCTGGTCAATGGATGTGGTGTGGCAACTATTTCAGCTACCATGCATCATGGCTATTGCACAAGTGTAATCACACACTTGTGTTAGGGAGAGAGCTCTACTAGGTTTTTATTTGGATGATGGTTTTCAGCCATGGCTATGAGATCGTGTGATCTCCGCATAGTGTCTATGGACAGCCCTAGCCATGAGGAGGCTCTTCCCATGGATGGAAAACCACCAGATCCGAAGAACAATGCTTCTATTATGGGATCTGGTGGTAACGGTGATAGGGAAAGGTACATCAATGGGCCTGGTTATCTAGTAATCAGTAGTTATGGTCTTGAAGGGAATCACTCAGTCGGTTGTCTTGGTTTCAAGTCCGGGTGCGTTAAGGTTTCAAATGGTGACTTAAGACTTGATTGTGAGGATCAACTCATCACTAGTTCCGGTTATCGAGTTGTATCTGGTGGAAACTTTGGTTTTCAGGCCTGCACTTGTGGTGATAACAGTAGATCAGTTGGTGATCTAAGCCATATATCTGGGGGCGATAAGGATATATCAGATGGTGTTGGCTGAGATGTCCATGAGGGGATAAATCACGGTGTAGTGGATTCTGGTCACGTTGTAGGGGATGAATATGCCTTTGATGGGTTTTATGTAGCTAGTCCTGATCATCGTGTAGTGGATATGCAAACTCGTGGAGACGATTAGGACCAGCCCCATCATCGTGATACAATCACAAGTTCAGTTCTTTGGACGTTGTTGTTGCTACCACCACAGGCTCTTCTATGAACACTGCTAACATGGGACTGTATTCTCCCACCATAGGCTCATCTATGGACATTGGTAATGTTTTGTCCATTATGCTCATATGCACCTTATGTGCTTCTTCACGGCTTCATCATCAGCTCTCCTGGTGCTATTGGTGAGCATGAGCTGAATATGGTTCGAAAGTTGGGTGATCACGATGACAGTGTGGTGGCTCATCGGGATCTTTCTTTGGGTACTGATGTGTCTTCGCATCAGCTTTCTGTTCGTCAGGACGTAAATGTTTTCCTGCAAAAGAGCTATTCTAATTTGGTTCATGTAGATGGGGTCACATGAATAAAGAGGTCAATGATGAACCTCTTAGTAAAGAGGATCTATAAAAGGAATATGGTACAAACCCTACCAAGGTAACCAATGCACCTAGAGATCAAAACCATGAAAGAATGGAGGCTAGAAATCGTGATGAGGAGCATATAGAAGCTTTATCAATGGGTGCTCATGTTGCATTACATGAGCTTTCGGATGGTGTTGCTGTGAATATAGCTTTCGGGCTTCAAGATAGTGATGTTGATGCTAAATGCAGAGGCAAGGGACCCTTGCTATTGGGTGAATCTTCCAAGTCCTATGTTGGCAAGGATGAGAGGGAGGGCCATGGATTTATTGGTTTTCCTCTATCACCAAGCACATCTTTCAAAGATAAAGGTAAGGACACTGATCTGATAATGATCAGAATCTTAACAATGGATATAAGGAGGACTTTCCCCCCTTGATTTATGGATCGAAGATTAAGGAGGGGTCTCTTGTAACCCCTAATTGTTGGGATTCAAGCAAATCCACGGATTTCCTATTCGAAGAAAAAGGGATTCAAAATGGGGTTTATTACTTTGACAGTATGGATATTACTTCAACTGAATATATTAATGGCAAATGTTATGTGAAAATTGAACAGGAGCTAGTCAAATCATGCTTTGAAAAGTGGGAGAAGTGTCTTCTGGGTATTTCCTGGGTCGCAAACCGGAATGGATGTATATGAAAGGGATGTTACAGAAGATGTGGAGGCTAAAGAATGATCTTGAATTTTTTTCTCTTGGAAATGGGTTCTTTGATATTTTGATTTAAATCAAAGCAGAAATGGAAATAACATGCACAGATGGCCCTTGGTTTGTAAACAAAAAGTGCTTGGTTCTTCAAGAAGGGGACCCTTCAGTCCAACCTTCTAAATGCACACGACAAACTGTCCCAATGTGGATCAAATTGCCAAACTTTCCACTCATCTTCTGAGAACCGAGGATTCTATTTTGTATTGCGTCAAGAGTAGGGAAGCCCATTTTTATGGACAAACCTACAAAACTGCGATCGTAGTCAGAGCCAAGGATTTGTGTTGCAATGGATGTGAATAACCCATATTTAACGGAAGTGTGGTTTGATATCCTCAGCAAGGAGTACTTCCAAAAGATTGTATACGAGTTTATTCCAACCACTTGTTTGAGATGTAATAGAACTTGCCATATGGCGGATTTATGCCGAACATCTTTTGTTATGAAAGACACATCAAATGTCAAAGCAGCTGAAAGAAAGGCAATAAATGATAGTGGAACAATTATTGTGTTACCTCAGGAGAGGAATCATGAAAAGTCATCAAGGGTAGAACACATATGATTTATAAAAAGAAGGAAGTGCCGATCTGATCCCTCGAATGAGGCACTGATGTTAGAAGAACAGGAAAATACCAAGAGGCTTCAAACTCTTTTGGGGCATGTGGAGAGACTATGGAGACAGAAATCTAGATAGAATTGGCCTAAGGAAGGGGATTCCAATACCAAATTCCTCCATTTTTCTACTATGATTCAAATACGAAATGATAGCATTATATTGCTGTAAGATCAAAATGGGAACTTAATAGCTTTTGAGGACGATATTGATAGGTTGCTTTCTCAAGATAGTGAAATTGATCAAATTCAGGCGGATCAATTTCTTCCTCCATGTTCATTATCTTTGGATCAAACGACAAAATTGGTTGAAGCAGTCACTATAGAGGAGATTAAAGCCACTATCAGGGATATGCAAAGCGAGAGTGCTATAAGACCGAAAGGTTTCTCAATGCAATTTTATAAATTCGCTTGGGAGATAATTAATAAATACTTATATAGGGCTCTCAAGGCCTTCTTCAGCAAAGATAAGCTCCTAAAGCAAATTAAATCCACTTTCATAAGTTTGATTCCTAAGGTGGATGGCCGATCTGTTATGAAAGATTTTCGAACTATTGGTTTGTGTAATGTCCTTTATAATATTATTAGTGAAATCATCTCAAATCGTCTTAGAATTGTCCTTGAAAACATCATTGACCCTAGGCAGGCTGCTTTTCTGAAGGGGAAGCTAATTTCAGATAATATTATAATGGAAAATAAGCTCATGTCTCTTCACTATAAGAATTCAACATGTCCTAAAATGTATATGCACATTGATCTGAGTAGTGCATTTGATAGAGTCTCTTGGGAGTTTATTGTGAGGAGGCTACATGCTTTGAGTTTCCCAGATCTATTTATTTCGTGGATTCATCTATGTATTTCGACTACCTCTTTTTCTATTTTCAGAAATGGAACCATAAAGGATTTTTTAAGGGACAAAGAGGTTTGAGACAATGGGACCCTCTATCTCCCTATTTATTTATGCTAGTCATATACTTCTTTAATAAGAAGCTAGACCAGGTTATGTTGCAGGGATTGATACCTAGAGCATTCCTCACTGGGTGCAACTATGGGGTTTCTCACTTATTCTATGCTGACGATGCCATCATCTTCTGTGGGGTATCTTATGCATTTTCCTCTGCCATAAAGATGATTATCTCCAATTTTGAGAATTCTACTGGTCAGATGTTGAATTCGATGAAAAGCAACAATTTCTTTTTTGGGGTTCCACAGGGCAGTCAAGCACAGATCTTGATACATCTGGAGTTCAGTGAAGGTTCCTTACCATTGGTTATTTGGGGCTACCTCTGTTTCATGACCATCTCCGACATAGTTATTGGCAGAGTTTGGTTGGAAAGGTGATCGGCAAGATAGGTACATGGTGGGCTCTATGTTTATCTTATGCAGGACGTCTTCAATTGCTTAAGTCACTTCTGAGTGCTTTGGTTATTTTTTGGATTCTATCTTTCATACTGCTGAAAAAAACATGTAACATGATAGAGAGGCTTCAGTGGTAATTTTTATGGGCAGGAGTTGCAGAAAATAAGGGTTTCATCTTGTTAAATAGATGACAGTTTGCCTCCCTTAGAAGGAGGGAGACCTGGGGGGTGAAAGAAATGGCAGACTTCAATATTGTTGGTATGATGAAATTGGCATAGAGGATTTTAGCAAATCCATCTTCTTTACTTGCTCATTTCTTCAAACACAGGTATGTCAGAATGTGTTCTATTTGGGATTCTATGGGCAGTTCTCATGCTTGGAAGGGCATTCATATCGGTCTATCTCAGTGGTGCATTAATAATGGTCAGACGGTGGATTTCTTGATGGACCCATGGTTATCAACGCAGTCGATCTGGGATTCTCTTGATGTAAATGGATAGATGGATTTGGGGGAACTTGGAGGGCGAACG